GGCAGGCAGGCAAAGAAGGGAGTGAGTCCCGTGACAAACGGGAAAGTTTACGGTCTTGTGGTCTGTTGGCCTTATTCTATGCATTTCAATTTCCAAAATGGTCGACAAAGAAGAGAGAGGGAAGTGGAAGAAAAAATTAACTCGCTTACCACGTTCGTTTACGTTTCTTTTCTCCCAATGCCAACCTATGCCAGACTTTTGATGGCTTAAGAGGGATCGATGCTGGCACCTGAAGACAGTTACCTCCCATTCAGTTGTGCAACTAATTTACGCTTGTTTTCAAAACAAAAAAATTTAAGTCATCACATGCATTCTCTAAGGAAGTCGCTGCTAAAGACATGTTGCCTAGAATAAAACATGAAAATGTGAATAATGTAAGACACGATTTCACTGGATATTCATATGCGGGTCCTTTGAGGAATATTTGCCGAATAACAGTGGAAGAGGCTAAATTATACACAGAGAACAACAAAAACCATCGAGCATTTTACTGTTTAATGGGGATTCTTTTAAAATAAGAAAGAGAGGCTCGCCTGTCACCCAAGAAGACAAACAGGCATATCGACACCTCTGTGACGCATGTTGAAAAACGCTCCAGCAAGGAACGAAAATACATCCCCCGCCTGAGACTTGGCGCCTCGAGGGGTATACACAGAGGAAGAAAAATACAACTATCTTCTTTGGCAGAAAAGAAGAGGAGCCTGTGGTGTCCCTGCATGTAGCACTGAGAATACACTTCACAAGGAGTGACAAAAAGGAAGGGAGTTTTCCGCAGACGGCTGTATGCAGTGCAATCTACCCTCCAATTTCCAAAAACCAAAGCAATTATATGGAAGATAAACAGCAATCCAGGTTGTGATGATCGCAGACCAGGAACACTTCCGCCATTAGTTCTATCCATAATTTGTCATCGTAACTAACCAAAAATAAGGTACTTAAAGCCCTTTTCGGTTGAAGGCTTAACTGTGAATTCCTACTAGTCTTCTCTATTAGACCACCTTCGGGTTCGATACATCTTTGCCCCATTGTAAAGGTGGGTACTTCGTAAAACCACCACCTTCTAATTTATGATTGCTGCTTCTAAAACAAGAGGTCTTAGTTGCAAGTTG